CACCACCACCACCACCACCACACTCTCCTATTCCCTCCCCTACCACCACAGCATCACCCCCCCACCACCACCACCCACCATCACCTACCCCGGCCCCCCCCCCCCTCCCTAAAAGGGAGAAAGAAAATATATAAATAAAACACCTGCCTCAAAGAAATGTTGTCACCTACTCACCATCCCCTTCTACCCCCAACCCCACCAGACTCCGTCACTGGGGACGAAATCTCTGTCTTGTCTCGTGTCGCAGCCAGCTCTGATTTATGATAAAATTTTAACGCCGCCTTTTTAAATATTTCACGTGCTCTTAATCGGCGCATGAAATTTTTATTTATACATATATAGAGTTGAGAATCGAGCTCCAGAGGACCCACCGCGCGCGCAGCTAATTAATAGATTTGTCTGTTGTTACGACGGCAAAAGACACGCTGGGGCTTAATTAGTTAGACACTGGAACCGCGCGCACAAAAGGATCAAACTTTGCCGGGTTTTTTTCTCTTCTACGTCCGATGTCCATGACGCTCTCCCTTCCTCCGAAAATAGATCACAGTTACAGTGTCGTTTTTGGTCAGCACACAGAGCGACGGCGATTCAGCGTGCTTCCCCGTGCTTCCCTGTGCTTCTCCGTGCTTCCCCGTGCTTCCCCGTGCCTCCCCGTGCTTCCCCGTGCTTCCCTGTGCTTCCCCGTGCTTCCCCGTGCTTCCCCGTGCATCCCCGTGCTTTCCCGTGCGTCCCCGTGCGTCCCCGTGCTTCCCCGTGCATCCCCGTGTGTCCCCGTGCTTTCCCGTGCATCCCCGTGCTTCCCCGTGCTTCCCCGTGCCCCCCCCGTGCTTCCCCGTGCTTCTCCGTGCCTCCCCGTGCTTCCCCGTGCTTCCCCGTGCGTCCCCGTGCTTCCCTGTGTGTCCCCGTGCTTCCCCGTGCTTCCCCGTGCATCCCCGTGCTTCCCCGTGCTTCCCCGTGTGTCCCCGTGCTTCCCCGTGCTTCCCCGTGCATCCCCGTGCTTCCCCGTGCTTCCCCGTGCTTCCCCGTGTGTCCCCATGCGTCCCCGTGTGTCCCCGTGAGTCCCGTGAGTCCCCTCCTTCCCCGTCCTTCCCCGTGCTTTCCCGTGCGTTCCGTGCATCCCCACATGGCCCCGTCCGTGCCGTGCGTATGCGCGGGCACGTACGGCCCCGTGTGTGTGTGTGTGTGTGCACCCAGAGGCCGTGTGCACGGCGCGTCGTGCTGTGGACGAGGTTGCTCGTGGGATGAACGTGGTGCGGCAACAGTGGCTCGAAGCAGGTAGCAAACACAAACAACGCGCGCGCGTGTGCACGCTCCGTCGCGTTCTGTCTGCGTGCGAGTAAAATGCGCGGGTTGACGGCGTGCGAGTCGCGTGTCACACAGCGACGCACACTCGCGATAATTAGGGGACACGCGCGCGCGACGCAATTGCACTCTGGCGCCCGTGTGTAGACACACGTGTATACATGTATATGCGCGCGCGTGCGCGTGCGCGTGTGTGTGTGTTTGAAACGAGCAGCCCGTAATTTGCGAGTGTTTGTTTTCTTGGAAACTACTGCCGATAATCTCCATTTAAGAGGAGGAGTTGGAACAACAGGGATTAAAAAAAGGGGGAACAAAAAAAAGAGACATCCTCTCCGTTAGAAACGGCGGGGGGTTTTGTCCCCCCACCCATCCCCCTCTACCCCCCCCCCCACCCCACAGCGCTCCTCACCCCCGCCTCTCTTCACCCTCTCCGCATTGTTCACGCAGTTAATTAAAGGCATCAAATATTCATGCCTTGTTTTACCTGGGCGCGCGCGGCCCGCCTCCATTACCAAGCGTGAGGGCGAAAACCCCTATAGGCTCCATATGGCCGGCCCATTTGCGAGATTAAGCCCGCCACGTGCCGCGCCTAATGTCTCGCTGGATGCGCGGCCTTAATCTGTGGGTAGCAGCCACCAGCCTTGCACCCACCCACCAACCAACCCACCCACCCACCACCATCGCTACCGCCCACGCAAAAAATGATGCTCAAATTTCCAACTTTGCGCACCTTTTTGGAGAAGTAGCGGCGTCTCTCGCGTTAATGGACGCCCCCCCCCCCCCCCCCACCGCACCACCAAAGAGCCACAAAATGCCCCCCCGGGGAGAAATGGTGGCACGCAATTGTCATGGCTTGCGAGTTCATTTTGGATAATGGTTTGGGAGTTGTGTGTGTGTGTGTGGATGTGTGTGTGTACGTGTGGATGTGTATTTAATTGTGTTGGGTTGTGGCTGGGGCGGGGGGGGGGGGGGGGTGTTCTTGTACAACAATGAGACTGTCTTGCATGTATGTATGTATGTTAAACTTCTTTCGCACCGCGCGTTGCACGCGCTGTGTTGCCTGGAAAACAAAAGTCGCTGCTCGCGTACACGCCGGGGCAATGCATGCGGTGGTGACGCACCGTCCATCGAGTTCGTGGGGGCAGTCGGCGCGTGCGTTATTCGTGCGCATGTTACGCGTACACGCGGCGCTTTGCCATTGCGACTTTGCCTCTTTTTCTCTCTCTCTCTCTCTCTCTGAATGGGGAGACAACTTGTAGACTCGGTGCCGTCTTTTGGGCGTCAATGCGTTACGCTTGCGCGGGCTCACCGTGCATCGCACGCGAGACGCGCGTTCACTTACAGCAATAGCGGCGCATGTGTGAAAGAGATATTACACGGGCACAGGGGGTACAGACCGTATTGGGCCCCTCCCCTTCACTCTGTAATCCGAACCTGTGCCGCAGCGTATCAGTTGATCGCTAAATAATTGATGGCGAATAACCAGGCCATCATCATTATGATGGAAGGCTCTCGGCTCCGTTTAGAGAGCAGAGGAGACTCTGGGACAACAACAACCCAAAAAAAAGCACACCAAGAGGAGAGAGAGAACTGGAGGCGATATGGGCTTTCAGAATTACGTCAAGGGATCTTGGAGACGGGCTGAGTGTGGCAAACACTTTCCTCGAGCACGCGGCCAGGACACGTGGCCCTTGCCACATCGACACCGCGCACACCTCGGCGGCGTATATTTAGCGTGGCGCCGATTGGTGGATATAATTGTAGAAAGGGACCCGTGGAACATTACGCGCAGGAAATTAATTACGTAATCATCTGTGTATGATATTGGTGGTGGGTGGTGAGTGGCGGTTACGCTTGTTGTGGAGCCAGTACACTTGGCAATAGCGTCTGGTAGCGGCGGCGGCGGTGTTTGTTCGGCGCCTCTGACCGCCTGATTTGGCCCGCGGGAGGGCGGCACCCGCGCCGGAAATGTGCGCGTTTAAATAAGAATAAGTTTGTCAATTAAAGAATAAGTTTGAAAATCCAATCGGCCGAGAGACGGACACATCTTATTTTGATGCGGAGACACGGGACGATAGGCGACATATATCTAATGCATGACGGAAGCCCCCACGTTTGGTCGCTGCGCTGTGTAGTACAGTATCATCAATCATTTGGAGACCTGTTGTCAATCCACTGATGGATGACTCCCAAACGCCGTTTAAATCATGTGGGTTGTTTGACCATACTTCACCACGCTGGTCAACGCGGATTGTTAAAGCGGGAGAGAACCCAGGATAGGTTCAGATATCACTCGCCGTTGATGTTAGCCGTGGCCGGTAAGCAAACTTCAGGTAGCCGGCTTCATAGCTTATCAAACCTGTCAACCCCTTATCAGTTCCTACCTTATTACAGACCAATTCAGACCTTATTGGTCACCCCGTGCCCCTTATAAATCTCAACGTTCATCCTACAACGTCCCATCACAAGGGAGAAACACAAACAAATAGACAACAACATTATTGTTGCCCGTATTGAAAAGGCTGTACGCCGTATGGACTTGAAAACTCAATATATCTGTACATGAATACGGGGTTGACAGGTATGGCTGAGTGAATGAACCACTGTGCCACCGCTCTGCCTTTTTGCATGTCGTGATACTAATTTGGCGTGTATCATTCTGGTCAGAATTGTTTTTTTAAAGCCACGTTACTCGAAGGTTCACCTCTATGGTAAATAGACCAACAGACAAAACATTAATAATAGGGGTTTTCCCCTTTTTTCTGGCAACAAAACTGAAACCTTTTTACAAGGATTCATGTCTGCATTAACCACAATACCTGCAGTAAAAATTCAAACAAAAAAACATACTATGATAAAAAGGCGTCATCTGGTCGAGCACCAATTGGATCGAGGCTCAAAAGAAAGCCGCCCCTTGGTGTGGACCAATCAGTTTCAAGGACAATGCATATATTATCATACTATGTTTTTTTTGTTGCATTTTGACTGCAGGTATTGTGGTTAATGCAGACATGAATCCTTTTAAAAAGGTTTCATTTCTGTTGACAGAAAAAAGGGGAAACCCCTATTACTACATTTTGGTACTGGCAAAGGAGGTCTAATGATGTAGACAAAACATTATTTGAAAAACAACAACGGACAATCATTTTCCAAATGAGATTCCATTGAGACTTTTATTATCAAAGGAGACCTGTTTGGATTTGCAGATCTTGTACGGCGAGAGGGTTGGTACAAATCCAAGTTAACTATTTAACTATTAAATCGCTTACTGAAGTCTTAAATTCCAAGATGTTTACATTCGCGGCCTTGAAAATTTTAAACAAAAACATCTACGATGACTCAAAGCCATTTTTACGCGGATACAAATGCAGACATTACAACGTGACCACCACACCTGTAATGGTGCACACAAAAGACAAACATTCCCCGTATAGCCTTAACATACTTTTTTGGGGGCAAGTGCTCTGAGCGAGTAGCACCTATGAAGGCTGGGACGGCACGCCAGAGGTGGGGGGGGGGGGGCGAATTTGTCTCCCCCAGTGGCGATGTTCACACATCAACGCAACCAGGTGCCCATTTGAAGCCGAGTCGACCTAGGGGTGGCCCAGGACCCGTTAAGGTAATCGTCACTAGCGTTGATGGCCGTGAGCGGGAATTGAACTGGGGCTAGCCGGGTTCGTAGCGCAGCATGCCTAGCGCTTCCCACAATGGCGCGCGCGCACACGCGCTCATGAAGTCCAAAAGCGGCGTTACATTATAATTAGGCAAACACAATAATAATGAGAACAACAACCATCACCGGTACAAGCCCTCATAGCGCCACTCAGTTGCATTGCAGTCTACGAGACGTCGCTGTACATTTCATTACCAAGTCGAGCACGGGGGTGGGTAAAACAAAAATCTCTTTACGTCTTGTTTCTAATGTGAAAGGACAGTGTTCATGTAATATTAACCACTGCGAAGCTAAGGGCCCGAATTTCAGCATTAAAGGCGAGGCATTAGAGGCGCTACGCATAGTACTCGTCGTGTCGTCGCGGTCTTTAAAAATCCATACTATACCTATATAGATTTCTCTCTGTGCCTGTGTGTCTCTGCGTGTGTCTTTGTGTGTCCGTGCGTCTCTCTCTCTCTGGGTGCCTGTGGGGAGCCGTGGCGCAGTAGTTAGCGGCCTTTTGCTCATCAACCACGGCGAACTGAGTTCGATTGACGATCAGGGCCAGCATCAGTGGTGAGTGATATCCGAACCGATCCTGGGTCCTTCTTAAGGTCGACTCAGCCTGAAATGTGTGTGTGCGTGTAAACAGCAGCACTGGAGGGAAAAGGCCGGGCGGACGGGCGGGCGTGATGCTGCTGTGCCGTTCTGACCTTCATAGGTGCTCGCTGACAGCACCTTGCTGCAACAGCTGTTAAACGCAACGTGGCAGAGCGTTTGGGGAAACGAGATGGGCGGCGGCGGCGTGGGCGGGGGGGGGCGATGGTAGCGTGTATCTTTGTCTCCGCGTGCATCTCTCTCTTTCTAGGGGAAGTTACATTTTTTTTGCGTTATGTTGCCCGGAGGATTCGCGTGATGAGACTTGGCAGAGGGCGCGCCACAGCTGCAGCCCCAGGGCCGCAGTCGCGGCCGCTCCTCGGCGGCTGAGACGGCGTCGCAGGCACGGGGTGCGCGTCTCGCAGATGCTCGCTCGCTCGCTCTCTCCGTGCGACGCGAACAGGTGGTCTCTGCTGGGCAGCCGGCTCCGCGTGCGGGACGATTTGCTCTCGATGTTACGTGCGCGGGCGAACCCTGATGAAACGCTCATACACACGCGCGCGCGTGTGCGCGTGTGTGTTCGCGGTTGTCGGTTCGTGTGGGTAGGGCGTAGGTGTATTTGTCTTTGCGCTGCGAACACCGGCGTTCCGAGTTCGAGTCCCTCTCATCAGTGACGATTATCTAAACCGATCCTGGCCCTCCCCTAAGTCGACTCATCCTCAATTGAGTACCTGGCGCGCTGTGTAAACATCGCCACTTCGGAGACAAAGGCGGCCGAGCGTGGTGCTGGCCACCCACCCCCTCGTATGCCGTGCTGGCCTTCATAGGTGCTCGCTAACAGCACTTGCCCTAACAGTCTGTTAAGGCGATACGGGGGATCTTTGCATTTGTTCACATCATCATTTGGGAGACAATGGAGGCACCCGTGATGCTGGGTAAACCACCACCCACGGACCGCCGTGTCAGCCTTAATAGGCGCTCGCTAACAGCATTTGCTCCAACTGTCGGTTAAGGCTACATGGTGGATCCTTGTAACTATTTTTACGTGTGTAGGTCTGTGGATATGCACATTTGCACGTTCGTATATCCGTCTTTGTCTCCATGTTACCGGTATTGCGCGTGTTTGTGTGTGTGTGAAAAACTGTGGCACTACACTACGAACCGGGCAAGCTGAGTTTGATTCCCGGCCATAGATCGATATTAGTGGCATTTAGTATCTGTACATTCTGCGTGTATCTGGGTTAACAAATGCGATGCGTGTACCGTAGCGAGGAGCACGGCACATCGCTCTCTCGAGTGCCATGCTGCCCCTAAAAGGTGCTAGCTAACAGCACGTCCCCCCAACACTCTGAATGGCGACACATTGGGAATGTTGCGAGTGTCCTGCACCGCTTTTTTTTCCAGCCACCGGGGGGGTTCGACTCCTAGTCGCGGTCAAACATCAGTGGCCATTGTCGTATGAACCTGGAATGGGCGTTCTTTAGGTCGACTGGGCCAAAAGTCAAACACCTGCAGCGCTGTGGGAGACCCAAAGTGGCAGCGCATTGACCGTTTCACCACACCACGTGTCGTGGACGACATCTAGAGGTGCTCGCTAACAGTCATTCAACAAACCGTAGCACAAAGGGCGATCTGTGTGTGTGTAGCGGATGAAGCTTGTGTCCATTTCTTTTTTTTTCGATTGATCATTTGTTATAATAATGTGACGCCAACAATATCTTCAATAAACCTGCATCACTGAATCCTCATCTTGCTAATGCTAATTTAACTAAACATATTCACCAATTAACGCTTAACGATACTCGCAATAGCAATAAAAACGACAGCTTTATAAAAACAAAACACTTTTATGTAATTAGGGGATGCTTATTTTCTCGAATAAGCTCGATAGATTCACCGAATTGCAATCTAACCTGTCAATCACAACCAATCAATAAACTCTAATAATTATTAAGCAGGTCCACCTGCACGGCTGTCCTGATTATGATGTCGTGGCGCCTACATAAGGACCCGGCAATCAGAAAGCTCACGACTGTAGCCGAGCGTTTGTTTATTTCTTTAGATGCCGTTTGTAATCCCTAGCGAATCGGCGGGCAAAATTAACAGAACATTTTTTACTCTTTAACATTGCGATGTTTGATGGGGGGGGGGGGGGGGGGGGAAATGCCATTTTTGCCCACGTGACAGCTTTATGTTGTTGGCTCTTTCGGGAAGTGGAGGGTTACAATTTGATTACAAGTGAACACACTTAAACCTTCACGATCATCCAACCAAAAATACGAACTCTCCCAACCCGACTCCTGGAGTTCTCAACATCGGTCGCGAGTAGCTGGTGGTGTGAAAACACGACCACCTTGGGGTGACAAAGGTGACCGGCCGTAGCGCTCGACACACCGCTGCCTGGAGTCACGTATGCCGCCCTTAATTAGGTGTTCTCCAAGTACAAGCTGCATCACGATGATGCCATATGCAGCATGAGCGTAACTCAAAGCGCCTCAAGCAAATATAAATAACCGATGTCATTCACTCACATTATCGATGCTCGATTCGTGAACGCGACTTCTCCGCCACGATGTTGACTCTAAAATTTCAGCCGGACAAACCACGTGTGATGACGTACGTGACTGAGCGCATTTCTCTCGCGTGAAGCATAATTATATAACTCGGTAACAAGTTCAGTTTATGTAACGATTACAGCGCTTTGAAGAAAAGTATACTCCCCATAGAGGTTAGTCTGTTTAACACGTAGGCTCTTGCGACCAACATGCAGAGGGTTTTTTGGGTTAGATCGCGTAAATAAGTGTTGTTAAAGTTGTAAATCTTTTGGATTTACTCTACAACACACCTGTGTGCTGTACTGGTAACGAATTGGCATGTTTTGTTTACGTGACAAACCATGCTAATTGGATTTTTTTTGTTTACCAGGCAAGGCCCACTGAGCTCTGTAGCTTTATCTTTCAGACGCAACCTGGCCACAAATGATAGATCAACGGAGTGAGCTTTGTACATTTCTAGCAGCCAAATACTCCAAAGTTTAGAGTGTAAACGCATGTTTCTAAATGTGGAGGGAAGATCCAGAGGGGGGAAATCCACGCGACAACGAGGAGAACATGCAAACCCCAAAATATACAGGCGGTAAGGGTCGGGATCGAACTCACGCCCTCCTGTATACCAGGCGAGGTAGTTAACATCCCGCCACCGTGGCGCCCGACGACTCAAGCCATCCCGCTCGTCTTTAAACAAAAACAATCTACTTCTGGTGTACGAGACAGCCCGGCTCGTAAGGCGATACGCGAAAGGCGACTCGAGGCGTGAGGCTCGCGTACCGCACGCGACAAGTAGGGGAGGGGTAGCTCTCTTGCGTGATATGAACGAGAGAAGCCTTCCCTTTGTACGAAATGTCAAGCGGTTAGTCCGGCGTTACCTCCACAACCAGCCAATCGCGTGGCTCTCCGATGCGTTCTCGGTTTGGGGTGGGGGGGGGGTTACACCAGCGCGTGTATTCGACACGATGCCCGACGTTTTGCTCCACGTGCTTGGAAGATGATTGTTGGTGGGGGAGGGGGGGGAGAGAAGCACCCAGCACGTGGTGCGAAACGTCGGACATCATCATGCCGATCAACACTCGGGACAGCTCGAAAACACAGCTGCATGGCACGATGGCGCAAACCTGCGCAGTTGTACCGCCACACGCCTCTTCATTTCCTCCTCTGTGTTTGTGTTGCGCATTCCAAGCGACATGCTTGTGCCAGCTCCGGTTCTCACCCCCCCCCACCCTCTCTCTCTCGCTTCCTTCCATTTCCTAGGTATTCTGTAACAGTGATGTTCAATCGCAGTTTGTAGAAGCCCCCCCCCTCCGCACCGATCTCTTCCCTGCTGACCGACTGCGAAGTCTCGCTCGAGTCCGCCAGGAATCGCCCTCTCAATTGCTCGCGGCTCAATCAAACACTCTGCTGCACCTGCAGTCGTCGCCACGATGCATCACCCGGCTTATCTATCAATTATTAACAGTTCTTAACACAGCCTCCTCTCCCTCCCCCCCCTATTTAGCGGTTGTGGGCGCAGATTGGTTGCCAGCACCCTTGGCCATCCCATCGAGTCCACCCCCACTCCCCCCACTCCTCCCAACCCCCCGCCCCCCTTGTGATTATCCAGGTGGTGGTAAAATATTGAATGGGGGGGGAATTGTGATTTTGAGTAAGGCGACGTCATTTGCCATTATGTTTCCGTAATTCTATTTCACTCGGCGCTAATGTGGCTTGGATATTTTGTTGTTATTGTTGTTGTTCTTGTTGTCGTCGTCATCATCGTCGTAAAGTTAAATTTAATCATGAGCAACTTAGCGCATTTCGCAAGCAATGATTTGTCACGCGGTTGCGTTGTCATTCCCAGTTTTGTTCGAAGGCTCCAAATCATTGCTGACTGTCACGGCTAGCCCCCTCCGCTTATCTCGTAATTTGTTTAGCCGTGAATGACATGACCCACATGGATGAAGTCTATTACCCATGTGTGTGTGTGAGAGAGAGATTTTATTTCAGTAAGATATGCAATTAATTATAGAACAAGTCAAAATTACATTATCCTCCCAATATTAATACAGATGTTTGCGACCGGTCTGACTAATTTGGGCAATTAATTATAAACTTTTAATGCAATCAACGTTATGGAATCTGTTTGTGCCATCAATTTTAATTATGTATCTGTTGAAATGTAATTCCCCAAATTAAAAAAAATAGCAATTTAACACCCGAGGCATGGTTTTTTGCGTTTAATTTGACTGCCTTTACACAGTATTAAATAACCCACCACGATCAAACGACAACAAGGAGTCTTAACTTGCAAATGAAACGCAGACAGGACTTGGAGATGGATATTGAACTTGCCATAACGCTTTGAGTAACAAGTGTCTGATTGCAGGTAGATCACTCGACTTTAATTTCACCTTCCACGCGAGTTGGTACAATGGTCTTGTTTCTGTA